TGCAAAGTTCAGCTCGGCCCTGTGGTTTCAACAAACCCCCTCTCTTATCGGGCTGGGACGGGGTCGCACAGCACGGTTTGTGTTTCCAACTCCGGCGTCGCTGCCGAAAGCCTGAATGAATTTAGGACGTTACTCAAGTTATTTCTCCAGTTGTGAACTGGAATTTCTCCTGTCTGCTGAGTTTCCTTTTGGAAATTCAGGATGTCACCGTCTCTCTGAAGTCTGGAGGGATCCTCAAGCAGAGCGGGGATGTTGTTTGGGACTTCCCCTGGTTGTTCATCAGCACTGAGCCTCAGTTTGCATCTTTCTTGAGTAAATCTTTTAAATCTTTAATAATCTCTCATGAATGAAGGAAATTATTCTATAAAACCTCACCATTTTGAGACTGAAAACCTCTAGTTACTTTAGTCCCCCTTTTGGTCACTCTAAGCCATTTTAATCTTATATATATATGTATTTAATTTTTTTAGCAATACTTTTCCCTGGCAGCTGCCATCCTCCTTGGTCACCACGTTACTATGATGTTTTCAGTCACATTTGTGGAGCACTTAAATAGATTCTCACGATGAAGAGCAGTTCCCAGTTCTCACATTTGGTGTGGCAAAGAGGTAGAGAAAATTCTGCCCCTCTGCCCTTTCAGGTGAGACCCCCCTGCAGAGCTGCTCCAGCCCTGGGAACAGCACAGGGAGCACATGGAGCTGCTGGAGAGAGCCCAGAGGAGGCACCAAGAGGATCCCAGGGCTGGAGCAGCTCTGCTGGCAGGAAAGGCTGGCACAGCTGGGATTGTTCAGCTGGACAAGAGAATCTTTGGGGGGACCTGAGTGTGGCCTTGCAGGGCCTGAAGGAGCTCCAGGAAAGATGGAGAGAGACTATTTCCAAGGGCTGGAGGGACAGGACAAGGGAAATGGATTCAAACCGACAGTAGGGTTAGATGGGATATTGGGAAGGAATTCCTCCCTGTGAGGGTGGGCAGGCCCTGGCACAGGTTGCCCAGAGAAGCTGTAGCTGCCCCTGGATCCCTGGAAGTGTCCCAGGCCAGGTTGGACGGGGCTTGGAGCAACCTGGGCTGGTGGAAGGTGTCCCTGCCCATGGCAGGGCGAGGAACTGGATCATCTTTAATGTCCCTTCCAACCTAAACCATTCTGTAATTCCATATAAATCATGGAATGATGAATGAGCCGTGTTCCTATAATGCTGAAGAGCAAAACGTTTCTAAATGTATGCTTTTGGTTTTTTTAGGATATTGAGCTGCGAGTGAAATGGCCAAATGACATTTACTACAGTGACCTTATGAAGCTTGGTGGAGTTCTGGTAAACTCGACACTTATTGAAACAACATTTCATATACTGATTGGTAAATGTCCATTTTCAAACTTTTCAAGCTTTTCTGTGCTGCTTTTTTTTTTTTCCCCCCTGAAGAAATTTGTTATTAATGTCCATATAACTTCACGTGGTAACGACAAGAACAAATAGTGACAGCAGGCATTAGGAAGTAAAGCGCAATATTAAATCAAAAGGAAGCAGAGAAAGTAAATGTTTTCATTTTTCTTAATAGTTCCACATGCTTGACAAGGAAAACATAAATGCAAGCATTTGGGCTGAGGTAGTAGAGTTCAAAGAAAGAGCACTGCAGGACAGAGGGGAATTGTCCTTGATTTTTTGCAAAACTAGTAGAATATGCTAAAAACTGTCTCCTTTTTATTTTTTTCTATTTACTTTTTTTAATAACATGACAGGTAGTTAAATAAAGGACATGTCTTTTAAATTAGGAGAGGAAGAGCTATGTACACATAGTAATGTTTTCATTTTTTAATCATTGAGGTGTTTTTATCATCTCAAGTCCGATAATCATCCTGCTGTTTGATAAGGAAGGTTTTTCCCCTAACCAGCAGCATCACAGATGCATGTCAGAAACCTGCCAGCAGAGCTCAAGGTTTTGGTTCCAAAAATTATTGTCTCTGCTATGTCTAAAAAATTCCTTAGCAAGTCGAAAAGGTTAAAGAATTTGATAATGTTTGGGTTATATTTGAATGTAACAGAAGGAAAGTGTCTTGGAAAGGGAGTGTGGTCGTGTTATCTGTGGTTTCTGTCAAGGTGCTGTAATTTTAGAGGTGCAAACAAGCAAAACAGTGGAAGTGATCACCTCCTTCTGTGAAGCATGCACAGGCATTACACTTTCTATTCAATTATACCCTCGTTTTGTAAATAATCCACATGGACAGAGTGGAAATTACACTGAGACACTTAAGAAGTCTCTCTGTGCCCCATTAATCATTTATTGCTTCCATGTTTTTCTAGGGCCTTTTCTGGTTAACAGAGGAAAAGCAGAAATGGATCACAAAATATTTGATTATATCAAATATCTCTTATGCAAATATTTGGTTTGGACCTTTTATTTCTTACCCTGAACCCCAAACCATTAAATTAAAATTAAACCCTTCTGTATCTGTTCTCTCTGATATCCATA